AAATCCTAGCCTCCGAGGAGAAACGTGGTTTCACCCTGGTTCTTTTGGAGGCATATGGTATGTTCAATACTCTTCTCCAGCACCAAACCTCAAAGGCATCAATTCTTCTTCTATTATCCTTAGTCATTGTCTAGCTTTCTGATCCTTAGCAAGTAATTGTGAAGACTATGGCCTATATCAGGCACACCTTAGTCTCTAGACGGACATTGTTGCTTCTCAGTACTCTAGAGAAGTGCCTGACTGCAGATTTTCCCAGTGCAATTGATGTTTTATTTCCTGATTACTCCTGTTGACTGTGGAGCCCAGCAAGCGGAAATTGCTACCTTCAATCTCTTCCATACTCCACTGAATTAGCACTGCAGCCATTACCACATGTTACCACTAGAGAGCAACAGTGTTGCCGAAATGAGGAGCCCTTAAAGCATTAGGTAATCCTTTCAATCTAGGAATTTCAACAGTAGGAGAGGTTTCAATAGTCACCTGCGGGGAAACCACTCAGTTGACTTTTAAAAAATTCTTAGCTGAAATCCAGAGAAAGAAATGTCTTCCTCATCATGGCCTACATTTTGAGTTCTCGGATTTAGAAAAACTACTTACCCTGACTTTTAAAGTAAAATAGTTTGGAACAGAAACTATTAGCATTTGCACTAATCATGCTGTTGAAGCAGAAATTCTCTGATTCACTACAGTGAAGGCTTATCTAATCTCAAAGATGTTTCCTCTGAGAAGTCCACTTCATACCTACCTAATGGCGTAAGATCCTGACTCACAGGGACCCCATCCCACTCACCCCATAACTGAATTAGGGTCACGATATCTTCCAATTCCACTTCACCTGACCTCACTCCACATCTGAATCGGGGGCACAATATCTGCCTGTGACACAGGAGAACTCAGGAAATGGCTGATGAATGAAAGGCACTCGCATCTGCATGCTTTGCGATTGGCACATAGATCATCTGGTATGATTCTTAAAATGAACTGGCACCCCAGCAACAGTATCACACTTCAACAACATATTGCATCAAATAACAAATGCTGGTGAGGCTATGTTGAGACTGAACGCTTTTTCACTGCTGGTGGAGTGTAAAACTGTACAGACACTATGGAAGGTGGTCTTGTGCTTTCTCAAAAAGCTGGGCATAGAAATACCATTTGACCCAGCAAATTCCACTCCTGGGAACACACCCTTTAGTTTCTTTAGAAACCAGAGCCACGATTCAAACAGATGCACACCCAAGTTCATTGCTGTGTTAGTCACAATAGTAAAGGGAAGCAACCCAAGTGCCCATCAACAAATGAATGAATGGAGAAGCTGTGGTACACTCACACAGTGCACCACCACACAGCACTGAAGAACAAGGAACTCATAAAACATCACACAACACGGGTGAGCTGGAGGGACATTGTGCTGAGTGAAATTTCTCAGTCACAGAGATTGCATATAGCACTGCTGTTATAAAATAGGAAAAACATGGTGGGTTGGGGAGAGAATGAGGAAGAGGTGGACTGATAATAAACACCACATTAGATCAGAGGAGGGGAAGCACTGTCTGAAACGAACAAATGATTAGACATTACATGAATGACAACATTCTGGAACAAGGGGTGCACTGCGGGGCACACTGGGGGAGGGAAAGAGGAAGGTGGGAGAAAAGGTTCAACAATGAAAAAAATTAATTATTATAAAAAGATTTTAAAACCCTAACACAACAAGCTGGCATGGCGAGCAAGGGCATGAGCTGTTCTCATTCTGACTGGGGACAGAGCTACGGAAGCTGCTGACATTACGTGGTGTGGCTCATCAGAGTCAGAGCAAGGGCTGCTATCATGGCCCCATGCAATACCTCACAAAGTGGTCCCCCATGCAGGAAAGGGGTGTGTGTGCAGGTGCACCCTCCATTATGTCTCATCAATACCTCACAAAGTAGCCCTCAAATGCAGAATGGGTGCGTGTGCATGAGTGCATCCCCCCCAAACGTGCTATCAATAACTCACAAAGTGGTCTTCACATGCAGGAGGGGTGTGTGTGTGCCGGTGCACATCCCCATGCACGTACAATCAGTACCTCACAAAGTGGTCCCCCACATTCAGGAAAGAGGTGTGTGTGCACAAGTACACCCCCCCATCACGTGTCAGCAAAATCTCACCAAGTGGTCTCCACATGCAAGATTGTGTGTGTGTGTGTGTGTGTGTGCGCGCGCGCGTGTGCATGCCGGTGCACATCCCCCATACAGGCACATTCAATTTGTGGTTCCCCAAATGCAGGAAAAGGGGATGTGTGCAGGCTCACCCCCCATACGCTACAACTGACACCTCACCAAGTGGTGCCCCACACGTAGGCCCATCAAGTCAATTCTGACTCCTGGAGCCTCTGCATGTGCCAAAGCAAAACTGTGCTCCAGAAGGTTTCCGAGGCTGACTTCTCAGTAGAAATATGCATTTCCAAAGTATCTCTGGGGAGACTTGAACCTCCAAACTTCTGCTTAGCAGCTGAGTGCACTAACCACCTGTACCACCCAACAGGAATCAGAGTTCACTCCCAGTCACCCCCTCCTCTGGCATGTTGCTGTCAGAGATTTATGTCCCATCCTGTACCAGGCTGCCTTGAACGTCCTGGGAGAGGAGTTGGAGGAAAACAATCTCACTGAACTCCTAGAAGAAACTAAAACCACTTTGGCCCTAGAGACTCTTGGCTTTGAAAAAGCCAGGGAGTTCTCCTCCTCAGAATCTCAACCTTAAAGTATTATAACCATTTTAAGCTCACTGTTGTCAAGTCACAGCTGATCCTACAGTGGGTTTTCAAGAGGCTGCAAACTGCACAGGCAGAGATTGTCCATCTTCCTACTGATGTGTGATGGGTGGATTTGAACCTCTAGGTTACCTATGCCGACGCAGCTCTCACGCAATCATTTCCCAAAAATGCAGGTAAATCACAACTGGCTCAGCTTTCTCTACCTTTCATACTGTCTCCCATGTATTTCTGCTTCCACCTAATTAATCAAACCCACATTTGTTTGTCTGTTTGTTTTTCTAAAAAGGAAATACTTCACCAAAATTCCGTGACACAACATCACGGGTGAAAGAAGACATTGAGCGTGGAAAAGAAATGCTGACCAAAGTCTCAGGTTTAGAGCACTAGCTTATTTTATGAAGGATGTAAACAGTCCTTCCCAAGGGGTTGCCTTCGTTGTTCTGCTTGCTGCTGAGTTGGTGTGGACTCACTGAGGCTCTATGAGCAACGAATGAGCCCTGCGCTGTCCAGCCCCCTCCTCACAACCAAGATTCCCGCTGCAGCACTGTGTCAGCCCACCCTGTGGAGGGTCCCCTCATTCACTCCGACCCTCGACCTGACCACGCAGGAGTTACTTCCCAGGGATCGGCCCTTCTGCGATAGGAATCCTAAGCATGAAAGACAAAGGCTCTCCACCCTCACCTTTCCAGAGTATTTTCACCACATTTCTTCCAGGACAGTACTGTCTGTTCTTTTTGGCAATCCATGATATGGATTAAATAAATGAAATGCCATTTCATTTGCCATTTTTTGGTCTTGGAAATAAGGAGAAAAATCCCTGGAACCTGAACTTTGCTTTTTCCACCTATACTTTAGAATTCGGGGTTGGTTTTCTGTAGGGAATCCTTCCCAATGGTAACTACGGGAGAAATCTTTGGGGCTCTGGGCAGTAGCTACATGCCTCCCCTGATGGAAAGTGTTCACTCTGCACACTCACTTGGCTGTTGGGCTAATAAAATGAAGCCTTTTTATTTTCTCTTAAAAACTAATGAATTGCTAAAAGAAGGGACATGAATATGCAGTCTGTTTTTAGGGATCCTTTGATTTGTGGAGCCCTGGTGGCAGAGCCCTTAGCAAAGTCTGCGGCACCTTTCAGACAATTCCAATTCCCCCTTCACTGGTGGGACAGAAATGAGCAGCTTCCTTTACTGCTGTTTACAGCCGAGGGTTTGCTAAGCGTGGGTTCTGAGTCCACTCGATGACTGAGTATAAGCAAGTGACTCTGATTTCAGAATCCAATGAACCCAGCAACCCCAGTGACCAGAGCTCTGGTGGCCTTGTCTGGAGGGAGTTACAATGCCAGCCCAAAGGCTAACCTCCCAAGCAGCTGGAATCCACCAGTGCTACCTGGATGGGCAATGTCCTCCTGGGTGATTTACAGCCTCTGAAAATCTGCTTGAAGGTCAGCTCTGCGTGGGCTCCCACTTGACAGAATGAGTGCAAATGAGTTGCAGGAGAATGTCTTTGAAGAACCAAGGCCGAGCTCCCGACCTTCCCCACCGATGTCTGACACCAGGGCTGGGACCAACCTACCCAACTCCGCATCTATTTCCAGATTCTTTGGGGTTATGAGTCTGCATGCTCTGCGGCATGTCTGGGAGGTGGTGGACAAAGCAACACTGTGGCTTTAGGCTTAGTAACTTCTCTTCTCCTTCAATTGATGAAAGCAATGCAGTGTCACATAAGATACCTATAGCTAGTACCTTCAAATGAGTAAATTATAAATTTCCAGTTCATTCACTTTTGTAGAAAACTGTGGCCCCGTTCACTTCCACCCACAGATTTAAAAACCGCGCCAGGATTACTGGAATTCGTGTTCAGCCTAACAATGAAATCCAACCACATTGCCCTGGGTCTCTTGCCAGGTGATCTGCACCTAAGGCGGCCAGTCAGCCCTTCCGGGGGTCCATCCAGCAGGGGAACCACCTAGTGTTGGAAATCTAGCCCGAGGTTTCTGCAGGTGCTGCGCTGCACCCGACTGCCAGACAGGCTGTGGTGCCCCTGTGGGGCCACTCCTCAGCTTCCGCGGGGCAGGAAGGGCACTGTCACCAGATCTGGCCTCTTAAGGAGCTCAGGGGCCTCAGTGGACCTCAGGAAGTTCCTAGTTCCGGGACACCTGGGAGCATCAGGGGCCAGGCCCCCCGCGCCCGCCGGTGCCTCCCGGGCGCCTTCCCGGAGCGCCCGCCGGTGCCTCCCGGACACTCACCCGCGCGCGGCCGTCCTGCACGGCGGCCACCACTCGCAGCGCGCTGGGCGAGGCGGCGCGGAAGTTGAAGAAGTGCAGCGCTGCGCGCGCCGCCTGCTCCAGGAAGCCGCGCGTGAGCTCCGCGTCGCCGGGGCCCGCGGAGGCCGCCGTCGCCCGCGGGAGGACGAGCACCAGCAGCAGCGCGAGCAGAGGGGCGGCGGGGCGCGGGGCCCCGGCTCGGGACGCGGGCAGCTGCCGGAGGGACTGCATGGCGCTGCGCTTCGACCCGCTCCGGAGCCGTGGAAATAAGGCCGCTGGGCCTGCCCCCGCCCCCGGGGCGGCCCTCGGAGGAGCCGGGCCTGCGGGCCGCGCCCTCTCCACCGCCCACCGCCCCGGCCCTCGGCCACCCCGCCCGCTCTGCGCGGCTCCAGGGCGCCCGGACGTGCCGGCGCCTCCGACCCGTCGTGGGTGAGAGCGCGTGGCCTGCTCGGCGCCACCCCCGCAGCGCTCCCGACTGGGGTGGGGGGGAACCCTACCTTCTCCTCCATCGCCCTTAGTGTTCCAGAAACATTTAAGGAGGTCTGGTGGCCTAGTGATAAGCAGCAGTGCTTCAATCCCAAAGGCACCCGGTTCAAATTCACCAGCTGCTCCGTCGAAGAAGGATGCGCTGTAGTCTACTCATGCGCTTTACTGCTTTTGAAAACCCACTTGGAGGGTCAGCTGTGAGTTAGTTCGGACTCACTGGTACACAACAACAGTAACAACGGGATTTCAGAGGAATCCCGCTTTAGTTCTCCAAGCAAGGCTTGTAGCTGTGACAAGGGAGAGGAGAAAGGAGAGTATGAGGTGAGAAGCTGGTGGATGCAGTGGGGGTGGATGGAATTCCCTTTAGGAGCCTGGCGCCCCCGAAGGAGGTCATAGAGTTGGGCCTGGAGCAGCCTCAGACCCAGGGAGAGAGGTCTCATTGGACTTAGCAACAAATAGGTCATTGATCATTTTAGTGCAAGAGCAGATGGAAAGGCTGGAGGTGGAAGCAGGATTCCAGAGGGGTGAGACATGAAGGAAGCCTAAGGAGGCAGCCTGAGATAGCGCTATCCAAACATCAGACAGGCCAAGGTCGGCAGTCAAGGGAGAGAGGTACAGGAGAAGGCGGAACTGGTACTGCAGGCTGGGTGTTCCCAGCATCCTTTCCTCCATCCTGCTCCACACCTGCCTCTTCATGGTTTGCTGACCTCATTGACACTAATGGGACTGAAAGAATGCCCAGCTCCCTGTGTGCTAACTAGTTCTAACCCGACACACAACATTAGATATGAATCTCTGCAAAGCCTGGGTGTGTGTATGTGTGTGTGATGTTGTTGTTAAGAACTGAGTACAACTCATAGTGACCCTATGCCATCCTCAACATCTCTGACGCACGTGCCACAGCCTATTGTTGAAGTCACAGTGTCAATCCATTTCTTGGGGAGGGGTTTTCCTCTCCTTTGCCGACCCTCTGTCTTGCCAAGTATGATGTCCCTCTCCAAGGAACGTCTCACCCAGCTCCATGTCCAAAGGATGAAGGATGAAGCTGCGTCATCTTTGCCTCCACGGAGCACTCTGGCTGCACTTTGTCCTATGAATTATCTGCTTGCCGAAAGGCAGTCCATGGGATACTCAGTGCCCTTCTCCAACACCACCACTCAAAGACATCAGTTCTTCTGTCGTCCCTAGTCGTTGTCCAGCTCTCTGATGGATGATAGGTGTTATTTCTGAAAAATATCCTCTTTCTTCCTCTTTTCTCATTGACCATGACCATTTATTGCCTGTTCTGTGTCTGCTTAGCACAATAGGCACTAACATTTACTAAAATAATAGAGAGTAAAAGATCGGAAAAAATATAAACAACAAATGTAAAACAACACAGAGAGAGACCAGTTGGCCTAATAGAGCGAAAGCGATGCTACCAAGGCAAAGGTGGGTGACTAATCTGCGGCCCTAAGGCCTGTTTTTCATTGTTTTTGTTCAAACAGTCTTCTAGGTCGTATAGCCCTGGCGTGTCCACTTGCTGTACAGAGGTAACTTGTGGTCGGTCGCTGTGAAGCTGAACTCTGTAACACTGATGAGTCAAATGTAATAATGGTTACCCATGGTGGACAGTGTTTGGTGGCGCTCCCCTGTTGAAACAAGCTTGGAAGCAGGAGTGGCATCTACTTCCGTAAGTAGCTTGCCCCCGGAAACCCTATGAACCCAGAGAAAGGATGAAAGTCGCCTACGACTCAACGACACTTAACAACAACAAAAGATTGGAAAAAATATAAATCTATGATTGAATAATTATGGCACTTCTATACAGTAGAAGATAGTGCTGCTGTTAAGAAGAAATGGATACATCTGGGTTTGTTATCTGAACCATCTTTTTAGAGCTACTATTACAAAGGGAAATTGAGCAATTAATATGTTTCTATTTGTGAAAAAAATACAGTAATATTCTTATACACATAAATGTTGTAATGGGCAAAGCTTCTGAGTCATGCTGTTGGAGCAGAGGGCCCTAGAGAATGCACGAAGAACAAACGCGTGTGTCTTGGAGGGAGGCAGCCTGGTGCTCCTGAGAGGCAAAGGCGTGAAACTCCATCTCATGTACATACTTCGAGTACGTTGTCAGGAGGGGCTGTTGTTGTTATGTGCCATCACGTCGCCTGTGACGCATAGCGACCCGGTGTACAGCAGCTCTGAACCTGCTCTATCCTGAGCCAGTCTCACTGACTCCTACACACCCACCCCCATTGCCCCAGTTACTGTATCCATCCATCTCATCCACTTCAGCATGAGAAACCAGCAGCAGTGGGAGATGCAAGACATCACAGGAGTGACTTGTGGCCTAAGCCTTCAAATCAAGGGGTGGCTGGGGGGAGGGAGGTGCTGGATGGAGTAGGCAGGAGTGCAGGGAATGCTGATGTATCAGGGAAAGGAAAGGGATAAGACAATGTGCTGGGAGAGAGGGGGACACTGAATGTATTGGCTATTTCTGTAAGGGGAAGTGTATTTCATCTGTCCTTTAGGTACAATGTTTGTCTGACAGATACTGTTCTAAAACTAAGCATCCAAATTATGACAGACTAGGAAGAAGGATTTGCCATCTACTTTTGAAATATAACCGGCCTTTGAAAACCCTGTCACAATAGAGCATTCTTAGAGTAGATTAAACAGTTATGGTAACTGATGCTGATTGGGAAATTTGGAAACACAAAGGAGGAGGAACACTTGTAAACAGTAGCTAAGTATTGGAACGCAGAATGTGAGAAATCTGAATGCAGGAAAACTGGCCATCACTGGAGGGGCTAGCCCTTGGGAAAAGATATCATTCTGGGAAGCTAGATGGTCGGGCAAAGGACAGTCCTCGACAAGATGGACTGACAGATGACTGCAACAACGGGCTGATGTCAGAGAGGCTGAGGATGGTACAGGACAGGGCACGGGTTGGATGCTATGAGTCCTTGTCGGCTCAATGACACCTAACAACAATCCTGGAAAATGTTCCTAAGCAATTGACAGTGATAGGATAGGAGACAGGGATGGGAGAGAATCTTCAGCAAATAACCTTGATATGTTTTTCACAACCTAACAACAACAACAAAAATGTTAAATTAGCAAATAAATGAATTGCTGCTACAAATTATCTCCTTATCTGTTGGGTTTTGTTTGGGGTGTGCGCACGCGCGCGCGTGTGTGTAAGGCCACATTGTCTACAGGCCTTCATAATTCAGTGTAAGTCCAGTGTAGCCTCTCAACTTTGGCTTTCCACACTCTTCTTTGGTGTCAGGTCCAGTGTGCTTTCTCCTAACATTAAAGCTTCCTTGAAGGGAGGAAACAAGTTCATTCACACTGTGGTGTAAGTGGTGGCCGTGACTTATTACATTACTCCTCCAAGAAATAGTCATTTAATACAAAGTCTTGAGCAAAGCCTTGAGTTATGACTGAACGGATTACGGAAGTGTGCTAAATAGAGGCACTCAACAAGCTCTGAATATCCACATCTGCCTCCCCCTTTTCCTTGAGTTCATTGAGAGAACGGAGGACTGGAGAGGGTGGGCTTTGTGAAAATATTAGCTATTTATTCCCCTCCTCCCCAAAGGAGCCAAAATAGGTCCTTCCTTACTTTTTGAGTATTTCCTTGAAGTCAGAGAAGAGCTCGACATCAGTGCATTTTAGGGAACTAGGCTTGAGGAGACCAGGGCATGACACCCTGAAAAAGAGGGCGTGATGACATTGCTGTCATGGATGCCCTGACTCTTGAATGATGTGGCACAGAACCAGGAGCCAGTTCCTGTGAATCTCTGGACCCACAACTCTTTGGTCAAACCCCTAGAATACACCAAGACCAGGTAGGGTGTAGGAGCACTGGTGCTTTGGGACTCCTGAAAGCCAGCTTCCCATTTCTTGGTTATGCTACTCTGATTCTCATCATTAGCATCCCTTGCCCATGCTGCTGAACACTCTTCTTAGGGGGACTCTGACCGGGTTTTCATACCACTTCCCTGCTCACTGACGTAGTTTCCATGGAGGCTCAGGACCCTGCAAGAGTGAGTCATGAGGTCTCCTGAGAAGTCTCTGGCTCCTCTCTTTGCAGCCCCAGAAGTTGCTGTGCATCTTGTCACCACCAGAGAGAAAACTCTATTCAGTGAAAGGTGAAGATGATGATGGAAAGTAACCGGAGCTTTGGTGATATTGTTGAACCACTTGACCAAGATCCACCTGAATCTATTCTATAAGTGAATTTTACTGTTTAATCGTGTTTGAGTGTAACTTTGTTCCACCTGATTCCTAATTGCTGAGGCAAGTACTCCTGCAGGAACCAGAGACGTAAAGCCACCCACTTGGGTGAGCATGAGCTGAGGAAAGGCAAATGCAGGCTGGGAACGTCACTCTCACCTACCTGCAGCACACATCAGCAGATTCCATCACCTTTGGCTGGACAGCTGGAGAAGGGACACTCCCTTTCCTGACAGCTTCTGGCTGTGGCTGCAGGGACAGCCATGGCCCTGCTTGAGTGACGGTTTCCAGCCTGGAAGAAGGTCCGCTCCAACTGAAGCACCATCACTCGTCCAGATTCTCCTCTCTTTCACTCTCTTTCACTGTGACAAAGAGCAAGGAGAGAGCGCAGTAAAAGGCCCTGGAAAGTCCCAAGGTTTATCTTTGAGAATCATAGCCAGAGGCGTATAAATGACTGGAGAATGGAATTTTTGCAAAGAAGTAGACAGACTTAAAAGCCTACTTAAATTTCTCTC